ACAAAGAATTTAATAAACTGACCAACTCATGGATTTTGTCTAATTCTAGTCAAATTTTCGTATATGTTCTATTGATTAATCATGAATGATTAAATAACTTCTTTGTTAGTATACTTTACCTTGAATGGTGACTGATATTGCTTCTCGTTTGTTGTCTTAATAATATGACTCGTTTCATTTGTTGTCGATTTGGGTAATCTGTGATGGCTTTTCGCTTTTGATTTCTTTGTATATTCATGAACACTTGGAATAGAGGACACCTAATACGGGAAAACAACATATTTAATGACTCAAAAGTGAATTTTTTTCGGATTAATAAGCATACTGGAATTTCTACTGATTTAGGAACATTTCGCCGTGGTACCAGCTTGATGTGTAGCATATTTGATAAAGATCGACGTGAAACATTATGCTTTTCTGATAATGAATTTACCAATGGTGCTACCTGTCCAGTTTTCTTTTTGGCTGGTTGCTGCATCTTGGCATTCACTTTGAACAATGTATGATGTAAATGTCTATTATTTTTATAGGAGTGAAATGAATGTCGGCAATAGGTTTCCTTGACATATTGTATTTATTGGCAAAAGTAAGAAGAAGAAGAAAAGAACAATAGGTCATTGTATATCACTGAAATACTCTCCAAATGCAAACATATATATTATTAAAAGGCTTCATTTTCATGGTCATGATGGGCTCAAGCTTTTTTTAATTTATTCTAATCAAAAGAAAAAAACAAGAAGAAATACAATTTCTTTTTGTCTATATGTAATATTCAAATTTCATTTCGACTATATTATTGAAAAATTTTGCTGCATTGAAAATTTTCACCGACTACTGGAAGTAATAAAAACATCGGAAGTAGTAGCCCTTCGAACTTTACATAACTTCTGCATTAATCGTTCAAAATCAAGCAAATATACATGTCGAATGAAGTTTTTTTCATGTTGTCCATTTGTTTTCTAGAAAAACGAATATTAGTACTAATAACATCAGTGATGTTTTTTAAATGAAAAATAAAAATCAAGGCAAGATTTTCGTATAGAAAATATTATATAGATATTCTTTAAATAAGTGATTTATATTTATGCAGTAGAAATTTATAAGTAAAAGAGCGATTATTTATTTAGAAACATTCAATGCATAATTGCTTTAAATTGTTCAAGTTTTTTCTCTCGATTAATCTTTATATTAATGTCTGTAATTATTTTCTATCCAATAGTTGAGCTAGTATAAGTTCCAGCATTAGTATCAAAAGTAAGAACCATATTTGATGTTACAGAACCACCAGTACGGAAAGAATGTCGGATGTATTGACCACTATCAATGCCTAGAAGAGTAAAAATAGTTTATTAACAAGTATAAAAATATTGTTGCACTTTTACCCTGAACACCGACAGTGCTACTAGCACCTGTGTCGTGCGCTTCAAAATAGGTAAATTCAATAATACCAGATGTAGCTTCAGAAAACTCAACTTGAAAACGATAGTACTCGTTCGGTGATCCATAATGACTCATATAATACTCGAATACAAGGATACGATTTGGAGCAGAACCTTGAGATGCATAATATATACCTTGCCAAGTTTTGGCATAAATATAAAGATCATCCCAATATGGTAGAACTGCAGCACCGAACGAATTAGTATGCAAATCAGTTTCCTGCCAAGTATCCGAACAATCGCTTAGACAAATAACCTATTGAAAATAAAATAAATCATATTAATTCTAGGTTTTTTTAAAGAACTGATGTAACACAAAAATATACATTAACGAAAGCTCTTTATTAATTTTCAAAGAACAACACAATAATTAATACTTACACCATTAGTCGTTATTTGAATATAATTAGTTGTCGTATTATAAACCGTAATACTAAACGGAAGTGTTACGTTAAAAATCTCATCATCAGCTGATCCGTTAACACCACCTGTCCAAATTGAAGTGTAACTGACCAATTGAACAGCTGGTATAGTACTGCTACAAGCACCAGCTGAACAACTTGTATCAGTACTTGCACATACGGTTCCAGCTGCACCACAATTATTAAAATCAAGCAATGAATTTACACAATTTCCAAATGATGCTCGAACATATGGCGAAACACAACTAGCTATAGAAAGTTCAAATGGAAAATATTGCTTATTATTTTATTAAGGAAGCATGATATAACGAATGTTAGAACAAAATTTTCAGTTATTGACTCTTTTCTTATTTGCTGATAAAATATTTTTCTTTGATTTTTTTCATAGAGCGTCACTGTGTTCTAAAGATTTTAACTGTTTATTTTCTGTACTGAACAAAAGAGTAATGTGTCACATAGTTACAACAATTAAATCGTCCGTTCGTTCATTAGTGTATTTGTTACACAACGAAAGAAAGTTGATGTATAGAGTAAATGAGGGTGAATTTTTAGAGAGAAAATCTCAACAAATTTTGCTCGACACATCCTAAATTCAACTTTTTATTTTTAGATACTCTCTATAGCGAAATTATCCAGAACGAGAAGATTAATAACTTCAGACTATGTCGAAAATAATTTGACAATTTTCATGTGAGTCTTTGTGATAAAGATGAATAATGAAAGTTTTAAAACATAAAAGGACATGATTTCTACTACTATTAATATATTAGAATAGATAATATCTAAAAAAAAGTTAGCATTGTCAAAATATAGATAAATGTTATATAAAGTTAGTTCGATGGAATTCAAAGCTTCTCAATTGATCATCTTATTTTATTTCTATTATATTATTCTTCATTTAGTATAGAGCTTAGTGTAGTTGGTGTTGCAGTTCTTGTTAATTAACATTGATCTTTATCATATCTTACCTGTAGTAGTTGTTGTTATCACCGTTGTTAGTGTTGCTAAATGATTCAATTATCAATAGAAAGAAAAATAATATTTTCAAAAACAATTATTTTTTGTAAAAATATTTGTTTTTTATTTACTTGTTAAGCTTTGCTGTTTCAATACAAGTGGAAGAACAATAGCTATTCCAACTAAGCACATGATTAACAATGTCAGTTGAACAAGTATTACTGTTAGCAAGAATTTGCTATATCTAATAATTAGAAACAAAGATTTATTTTTTTCTTTCTTGAATAGTAACTAGAGATGTCTATAGCAGCTCTATCATCATGACGGCGTCAGAAATGTTTTAGGAATACTATCGGAGTAGTGGCAGCGGTACGTGAGCTTTATCTCTTCTAGGACCATGATACGGCAACCACAAATTTCCAGCCACAATGGACATCTCTTATAGTAACTAATAATAGATAGGTTTACATACTTTTTTTTTGTTAGAAATACTCGTAAGTTATCAATACATCCATTTTTTGGTTGATGTTTTTTTGATTTTATACTTTGTGATGATTGTATTTTATCTGACACAGTATGAATGGTCTCGGTCTGCTTACGAGTTTTGTTCGTTGTGATTGCGTCCTCCTATAAATAGATCATAATTGAATTAGAGAGAAACAATTTATTATTTATTCTTAAATAGTTGATTATTAAACTTGATCCAATAAAATAGTCTGCTTATAAATATTAAAAAAAATTAAGAAAAATTCGAAGACATTTGTGTATCAAAACGAGAATATATTGTATGTATAAAGATTATCAACTGTTGAAAAAAAAAAGATTCACTATCGATAAATAAATCTTTGAAATTTTTTGCTCATTTGAAACTGTAATTGTCTACTTACTGCTTCTTTAAAAAGTATTGGTTGCACATGTAATGCAACCGAACGTTGACTACTTGTAGGCATTTTATGATAGTGATTCTTCTTTTTAGTAACGAGTCTCTTTAACTATGCAAAAATATTAAATAAATAGTCAAATCTCTCTCTGTTTTTATTTCAATAACTTCTGTCAAAATGCCAACGATATTGATGTATTGACGTTTCATTTTTTTTTCTTTTCATTTGCATATAATGCTTATTTATGCTACTTCAACGATGAAATGCAGAAATTTAGCTGTAAATCACATTTCTCGTTTTTATTAAATTTTAAAAAGAAGACTATCATTTTAAATAAACACAAAACAACTTACAATATGATGTCTTTCTCGTGTTATGATCCTTGAATATGTAAATGTTTCTTTTTTATAAAAAGAAAAAACATAAGTGCACTGTCGATTTTCACTTAGTAAAATATGTGCTTCGAATACTTACTTTCAAAGTCCATAGTTTGATCAGCAATATCAATGAACATGTAATATCAAAAACTATAATCATTGCGAACAAGATAAGATTAACTCAAAATAATATGAAGAATCACATAAGTTTACTTTTCTTGATATGTTTACAACGATCCGTCTCTGAATATGCCTGTGTCATGACCGTGTATGTTATGTGTGTATTTATCAGTTTGTGTATTGATTAATCAATAACATGATTAAATTTGATTAAAAAAAATGTTAGTAAAAGAGTTTGATACAATGGCAGTTCAGAAAACCGTAGGTGAACTTAGCACCTAATTCGAGTAATTCCGACACCGATTCATCCAGGGAGTCTTCCTATTTGTGTTCAAAGTAGAGTTCACCCTATGGACCATAGAGTATTAGTTTGATGATTTCATCCTTGACTCGTCCAGAAACTAGACCAGATTTCTTTATTTGTGTTTCAAACAGAACTTGAAACACTCTGCCGAATAGTGCAATTACATTTACGAGATCTCATACAGTAGTTTTAGAAATCAAAAAATATTGGTCTCTTCTTTGAGGTCATAAAGAGCTTCAAGAGTGCTCCTAACACCTATCCGCTCAAGATATCTTCTAGGTCTTTTTCTCGATGTTGTTAGATAAAGAGCACGTCGAGTTCTACTTGTAGCACGAGTGAGAGCGCCTCAAACACTCATGAATGAATCGATGCAGAAATCACTCAAATCGGATGCTAGCTTCACCTATATTTCAGAAAATGATTATTGAAATAATAATAACCTTTTCTCTCTATCAAAGTGTCATTATATCAATCTGTTTACTTGATAAATGACTTTTTCTTATATTACATCAGAATTCAAGCTTTTGTGCAAAGAAGGATAATATTAACCCTTTTATCATTCTTTTTTAAATCAAATCATACGTTTTTCTTCGCCCTAAAGAAATGGTACAAAATTATTAAAATTCTTAAAAATCAATCAATGAAGATAATGATTAAAAAAGAATAATGAAAGGTTGCATTATAAATATCACATCCAATGTATTTTTAGTCATTGCAGTGATTATATTCATGTGAATGTTAAATAAGATTTATTTTTTAATATAGTCATATGTTTTAAATATCATTTCGTCAATGTATGAAAATGATTGTTTTTATTTGTGTTACAATGCAATGACATCAAAGAGTGTGAAAATGTTATGTGAAAAACAATTTGTTGAGTAAAATTTTCATTAAGACATATTTTTTGTTATTTAAAATGAAAACTCGCATATTAAAATTTGAAACCAAGCTTCTAGATTTAATTGCTTATTTTCTCTTTAAATTTGCTTCCCATGGTTTAGTTTTACAAATTGAAATTGGCTTTGGATGTGAGCAAATCATTTCTCATTGTTTTTAACTGTTTAATCTTGAAAAGTTGAGGATGGTTTTTTTTTGACAATGTGAAAAAATAGACTGCTGAAACTGAGAATCTGAACACTGAGAATGATCATATTAGAGTTAAAAAAGCAGATGTATTAATTTATGTTAAAAAGTTTTTTTTTTTCACGAATAATTTTATTTATTTATTTCATATTATGCTAAAAGTCAATTAAATATAAAATTTGCAATTTTTTAATCCTTTTCAGATCTTCGTTTCATGATAAAACTATCTTGCCAACCCAATAAAGTGTTGCGAAAGCAATCTTATGAAGGATCATCGGTGAACGCTTAATGCTTCTAATAGTTCTTCTATTGTGCATAGTTTAACAGATGTGGTTGTTACTTTATGACTTATAACATTATCTTAGTCCGGAAATCTCCATTGTTACCTAGAACAAGCATTTCACTTTTTTAGGGTTAAATGATGACTATTGAATATATAGCGTTAGATTGACTTTATTCACTCATTTGTTCTTCAATTATTGAAAAGAGAAATATGTATAAATAGACAAAACTGGATGACAGATGCCTGGAGAACAATTTATAAATATTGACTTTATTGCTCCGTTTAATTATTCTTCTGTCTATTGATGGATTCCATGTCATATTATTAATTAGTAAATAATAGAAAAGATCAAAGCTAGAAGAAAAAGTACAAAATAGGAAATCGATCATTTTGCTTTAGTTTCTCATGCACTTACCGATTACTGCTAAGTGCGCTCTGTTTAATTTATTTTCTATCGTAATCAAAATAATGAATTACTGAAAGGATTAAAGTTGCTTGTCTGTTAATGATTTTTTTCAGGTTTTTGTATAGAAAAGAAAAATATTATTATAATCGTTTGGTTTATGTGAAACGTTCGTTTGTTATTATCGACGCGTTATTTGATCCTATATTAGGCCAAACACTGGGTGCTAAAATATTATTCATTGTATTATTCTTTTCTGTCAATGTCCAAAGAACCAATTGTTCAATTGTATCCCATGTTTAAGTACCCCATCCAACGAATCCATAATTTAAACTTTCGATCATTACATTCTGAATAGCAATGGCAGCACTTGATACATTCGGATAATTGTTTTTAAACGCTCCCATTTCACTAATTAATATCGGTTTGACTGGGCTCAATGCAGCTCCTTCAAACTCTGCTCGTGTATTTTCACTAGCATATACATGTAAGTCAATATAATCAGCGTGCCTATTTATAAGACTAGCTGGTCGCAATGGATATCGATCATCCGCATTGGGTGGACGAGTTTGTACACCATCGAAGCCATCATGTCCAACAGCATTCGGAGAGAATAAACTAGCAGTAACGAGGATCGTTGGAGCAATAGACTTGATGGCTGTGGCTACGGTATTTAACCATATATTACCAGCGATGTCGACAAGTTATTGTCGATCGTTGCCTTTTGTCATATTGTATGAGACACCTCCAAATGATACAATACCACTTGTTAGAGAAAATGGCTGTTGTTGTACGGAGACTGATATTTCATTAAAAATATCAATAGCAAATATCGTTTCAAATGCTATCGAGCTGACATTTTGAATTTCAATTAAGAGATCTTGAAAAAATTGAGCTTTCACAGCAGCTTCTCCGGCATGAAAGATAATTATATTTGTTCCTGTCACATTTGCTGGCATAGGATAAGAATTCACAATCGATTGATAGTTTGCCGAATTTCAACTCTCTGTCAACATAATAGCAATTTGATACTTCGACACTCTAATCAAAAAATCAATAACATTTTGTGTATATTGCATTGGAATACGAGGTGATGAAAGATTAAATCCTTGATACAAAGTAGGACAATCAAGAAAGACACGAACGTACTTGTAACCATAGCTATGCATTTGTTCGAGAGCTGTTTTAATATCCCAAAGAGGATATAGATCAGGCTCAAAAGTTACATGTATCGAAGCATTTATTAAGCGTATATAATTGGAACCGCATAAAGAAATTGGAATATTATTGAATGTAAAAATACCTTGACCATTTGAATCTAGTTGAGTAATGATTGCACCTTGAATAATGGAGATAGTTAGAATGATGGTATAAAACCCAATGCGCATTTTAATTGTAGAATGATGTAGAGAAGAACGTGTTCATTTTATCATAAAGCAACAACTACATTTTTCTTCAATGTCATTAAGTCATCTTTGCAACGTGTGCTTTTTTAGTTCATATTTTTCTTCAAATATTATCTTAATAGTGTTTCAGTGATATGGATCAATAACTTCGACATCTAAGACCCACAAATATTCAGGATTTTGTTTTATTGACACGAAATGACTGTAATGGGTACAATACATTGATCATAATGGACATAATCTTATAATAGTCATACTATCATCGATGAATGTGATCCATATTGTGTGTATTTTTGACGAAAATAAGTTTATTTTTTTTAAATAATGTTAATCAGTTTATGTGAGATTTACAAAGACGTTGAATTCTGGAAGATGTTGTAAATGAATAAGTAAGAAATATTTAGATACTTAAAGTCGAAATAAACAATGGGCACAAAAATATGATCTTATTTATATACCTTCGCTAATCAAAGTTAACTTTTTGAATTATCAAAGTCAACAGACAGACAGTGAAAACTAAAATAAAATTTTATCTTACCATTATATATTTATGCTTATGCCTTTATTTCTTTTCTATCTGAAAAAAAAAAGATTTATATTTTACGTATGTAGTATTATTTAATTTCAATTTTTTTTTGTCTAGAGAAGAAAATAATTCTATTAACGAACTATTCAACTGTATATTAAATAATGAAACATTTTCATTTTGTCTTATTATGATTAATAATTAGTTTTATTCTATCGACATTAGCAATGCGATTTGGAACATATAATATTCAATTAGGTAGTAATTTTGAACATGTTTATAATTTAATAGAAAATACTGAAACAATCAATCAACTTGAAGTTGATCGTATTGCTTTACAAGAAGTTGATAATTTTACAATTCGTCATCCAATAGATCAAACATTATATATTGTTCAATACAATAAAATACAGACATTTCAATATTTTCATTTTGAAAAAATGAGAAATTTTCAAAATGATGGTTATGGAATATCAATATTATCAAAGCAAACATTAATAAAACGTTTATTAACATATCATTATAATAATACAACAGCTGAACAATGTGCAATACAAAAAGAAGATGATTATTGTCAAAGTTTTATATTGATTGAAATTCCTTTTAAATATTAAGATACTATTGATTTGTCTATCTATTTTGGTACAACTCATTTAGGTATTGGTTTAAATGGTTCACAACAATTTAATGAAGCTAAACAAATAGTTCAATGGATGTCGGATAATATAATAGATGCTAGTAAAAATCCCTATGTTATTTTAATGACAGGTGATTATAATACAATTCCAAGTGAAGATGCAATTAAAAATATTAAGCTTTCATTATTTGATGATCTATGGATTGTAAATGATATTTGTCAAAAAATCATAGATCCTTTAAATATTAATGGTTATACATTTGATTCATTACATCTATCAAAACGAATTGATTATATATTTAAGTTGAAAAGTCAAAACTTTACTGAGCAAATAAAATTCAATTGTGAAATTCAAGTTGTTTCAACATTATCATCAAATCATAGACCAGTTGTGTTAAATTTTGATTTATTGTAATAAAAAGAAACAACGTTTAATCATTTTTTTAATTAGCTGTTCAAATATCAAGATCTATTAACAGATATGTAGGAAAAATAACGAATTAGAATAGAAATCCAAGTGTAGCTGTCAAAAATATTTTTCTGATAACCTATAACTTGTATTGTGATGCTTTACAATGGGGAACAAGTGTTTTTGCTAAATTTGATATTGATTCTTTGGTATAGAGTTTTACTCAAACGATTTCGTTACAAATATTGTGTATGTTGTGTATCATAAAAACATTACTAACGAAGAATTACTCGAACTAATACCCATCTTTTCAATTTTCGTGAGATTATCAAGATTTAGCAATGATATTCATTTCGGTAAAATACAATTCGATGAACAGCATACAACTAATCTATTGCTTTGAACTTCATATGTGTAGGACACATAATCAGATTTTTTATCAGAAGAAAGGATATGCTTGGAGGGCCTGTGGGTGTGGATGAAAACTTACGCACATACTCACACTCTATGAAATAATACATAAGTCATAAAGAATCGCTGATTTCAGAGCTCCATAAGATGGGAGTTTCGGCATGACTACCTTTATGATGTAAGGGGGAGTGAACAGTGCCATCTATAGAAAAAAGAAATGAAAAGAACAATATTTTGTCACACTCCTATGTGCTATTTGATCGATGAAAAAAAAATGGTTTCATTTTATAAATAATTCAAATTGAACTGGTTAACGACAGAGGAAATCTTGCCATAGAAACATTGTACGGTGTGTGCCTATAAAGCATAAATACTATCGACTTTTAAGTCAGGCAGGCACAACCGGAAGAACACCTAATTATCTAATTCAAACGACAATCAACTCTTGAAAATCTGAATTAACTAGTTGAAAAATCAGCGACTGAGTTTCGAAAGAAGACCGATTTCATCGTTTAACAAACTCGTTCCCTCCTTCGATAGTTACGAAAATATTTGAATCAATTGTTTTTAAATTAGAAACTTTGCCAACACATTGTTTCATAAGTAAATACTAGAATATCTCGGTTATTTTTTTATCAATTGCTTATCATCTTGTTTGTTTGATGTAAAAACTGTTGACTTATATACTAATTTGAATTTAATTTTCTCCTGTTTTCTGTTGTTACATACACCTAGACACGATTGCTTGTTAATGACAGTTAATATTGACGTCAGACAGTTTTCGCTGAAATGGACAAGTGTTTTAAGAAAAAAAATGATTCACATAGGCGCAAAAAAGTTCCAAGGAAAAAGGAAGAAAAAGGAAAAACAATAACAAAAAGCACGTACGACCAAGTTGCAAGAACACAAAAGACTTTTGAATGGAAGGTAAAAGAAGCATAAATAAAAGAACGAAATATGACATAAAACGTTAAATATTCTCAGAGAAAAACTTGGATTAGTCAAGTCAATTCATATAGACGACTTAAATGGTAAGCGAAAGATGTCATGTCCGAATTTCTCTTCATTACTGACTAAAAGTCTTCGATGACTAGCAAGTATGTCTTTTTATATCTATGCATGTTAATATGAACTATTGTTTTGTTTTAATCATTCATTATTAATTGCTTTTATTAGGATAGGAAGGCGGAGAAAAAATATATAGTTGATTATGAAAGGACGGGAGTCAGACTTAGTTGAATACTATCTTTGTAGTTTAAAAAAGAGGAAAGAGTATATTATTATTATGTGAAATACAATCATAGAAAATATATATTTATCAACAAAGAAATCAAAGATATGACACAATAACGATTTAATGTCAATATTACATTCTCATATATCTATTGTTTTCAAGTAAAACAAAAAATCTTTTTCAAATAGAGATTGATTACAAGATGTCAGTCGTTTTCATATACGACTTGATGGTCTTCTTTTACTTAAGATTTTACGCTTTTACTTTGAAAGAGAACAATCAAAGAATACTCTTTTCAAGAACAATATATATAGTTTTTGATGAAACATTCAATTGCTTATTATATTGGATTTGTTTCACAGACTGAATTTATAACTTTGCTTTTTATCACAAAGTAAATAGTAACAGTGGTTTCTTTTATCAAGTAGTGTTGTTTTTCGTTCTTTCAAAGCAACAAGCCAAAACTTGTTATTGTTAACAGAATGAAGAATGTGACAAATAAATTTCGATTATAAACAAAATGAAAAAATTCCAAGTTCAGTTATCGAAAGAAAAAAAAAAAGATTTTCAATCTCAGTGAATTACTAAAGAAAGAGAGAAAATTTTATTTTCTCAACTATTACTGATCAGATTGAATAGATATATGATTGCATAGCTATTCATATTTATTATTCTTTATAGAAAACCTTCAAGTAATTGTATTAAAATAATGCATTTTAACGGTCTTTTATATTTATTTATGTACGTTTATAGATGCATACAGAAAATGATGAAAAACAATTAAAATCATGTCTAACAAAAATTATTCAGTTAGTTGAAGAATGTCTACAAAAATTCAAGTCATTTGATCAACCGACACAGATACGATCACCAACTGACATAAAAGATGATAATCTTTTAGAAAATTCTCAATTAAATAACAATATCTATACATTTACATTAAGTGATGAAGAAAATGAACTTCTACAAGCTTTAACATATAATATTGAAACTACTCTAAATGAACATTTTCAACATTTATCAAACATATGTTTGAATTATCTATTAGATTTTCTTTATACATATCATTATGATCGTGAAAAACGACGATTTCTTTCACCTTTAAATATCGGTGAATTATATTCATTTGCTCTTGAATTAAAAGGTTTATTGGCTTCATCTGCTGCTTATCCTGCTGCATACAATGGTCAATTAGATGTTGTTAAAAAATTTATTAAAGAATATCCAACATTCAAAGATAAACCAGGATTATGGGAAACAACATTATTATATTCAGCTGCAAGAAATAATCATTTAGATATTGTTAAATACTTGATTGAAGAAGCACGTTGTTCTGTCAATGCTCAAAATCAACGTGATGTTGGTTTTGCATTAGATGCTACCACTGCAGATTACATTCCACGACCGACAGCAGCTTCAACAGCTCTTCATGGAGCTTGCTTTTATAATCATTTGGATGTTGTGAAATATTTAATTAGACACGGTGCTGATTATTTTATTCAAAATCAGGCACATGAAACACCAATAAATAATGGAGAACGACATGCTGATATTAAAAAATTTTTCCAAGATTATCTTATTATGGGTTATTCTATTAGAGATTCAGAACGCTTACCTGATCAACCTATAATGGATAATGATCGACGTCCAATACAAGATTGTATGTGGGAATATAAACCATTTCAAGATCCTAAGTGGTATAAATTTTCAGCATCAGTGGCCTCACTTTTACATATAGCTTTATTACCATCAAAAGAATTTCAACAACAACTCTATATGAAGTTAACAAATGGTTTATATAGTGTATCAATAATTGAATTTTTACGATCAGGAAAACATGAACAAGATCCACAAAAAAATATGGCATGGGTTCGATGTCGTGGTTCTAGTATTTTAAACTTTGATTGTTTTTCAATCTGGCAAGTGATGTTAATGCAACATCCAAAAGTAAACGATGATGAAGATAAAACTCCTTCATTAAAAATACAACATTTTCCCACTATGGTTACTAGTCGTTTTAAACTTCAATTAAATACTTGGTATAGTTGTGATGATAAAACCAATTCATTATTAGAGAATGCTATGAATTATCGACGAAAAATTATTTCGATTAATATCCCTCATGTTTGTGATGGCTTGACATTTAATTTACAAACATTTGAATTTTCAAATAATGAAAAGACAATTGTTGGATATATTCGATGGATTCCTAAACTTATATCCAGCACTGAAAACAAAGATAAAAAACTTGTATACGTTGATAATTACCAATCCATGGCCAATATCCAACCAATTCCTTTAACTACAAAACGTTTGAAAGAAGCTTCAAAAATAAAAAGTACTGGTAAAAACCAAATGGATGAAATAGAAGATCAAGATGAGGAAGATGATAGTGGCTTACAAATCGCGACAACATTTGGAGGAGGCAATGATGATGAAGCTGATGATGATGATTTTGAAAATTGGGATGATAACAATCAAGTAAGTTAAGAAGAATTATTCGATGTCAAGGCAAATCTGAGACAGTTACTAATTTCCACTAAATCGTTGATTGTCGATTTCTAAATTTTGACAAAAATAACCTGTGAAAAATAACAGAAATCAGTAACTTATTTGTATGCATACTTGAAAATCATTACCAGAAAAGTAGACATAGGAGAGTGTGGGTGTGGACTGTTACTCTCACTCAAGTACATTCACATTCTTCTTAGCTATTTTTCGAATGGTAGAATTCAAAATAATAGATAATTACAGTTACATAGATTAGTTCAAATTCGTAGAACTTTTTCCAATTTGTAGAAATTTTGAGAAATTGGAATTCCTAATAATTTTGACACATAGATTTTAACACCAGTACCACTTTCAGAGAGAGTGGCGACTGAGTCCTTTGGAAATTTTTACAATTATTGCTAAAGTTTATTCCATAGAAGGGTTCAGAAGAGTTCAAGCTCCCACTGACTAAAAACCTGGCACCACCGCTACTGATCTTTGCTCGATGAACGTGTTATTCTCGCTATTTTTCTTCAGTATATAAATTAAATCTCATGAACTTTTGATTTCTGGTTTAATAATATTTCTCAATCAAATTTTAGTCATCGTCCGGAAATACTGGTACTTGGAGTATAACCGATCTTAACGATGAGACTACGTTTATTAATTCTGCTCCTGATGCATCCACTGCTGCTACAACAAATATGATAGTTCGCGAAGATTCGAAAATTTCAGAGAATTTCTTTCATGAAACATCAGACGATATCAAACAACCATCCGTTATCGAAAGAGCGAATTCTACTTTAAAATCTGAAGCAACAACTGCTCTTACTGCACAATTAGAATCAGAAATTCAAGAATTAAAAGATCGAATTGAAAAAGAGAATTTAAAAATTGAAAAAGAAAAACAATCACAAGAAAAAATGACGAAAGAAAAAGAAAAAGAATTAAAACAAGTTCATAAATTAGTGGAGGAACTTCAACTACAATTAATAAGCAAAAAATCTCATGAACAACAATTCAAAAATTTAGTTAATCAAATAATAGCTGTCGATTATGATAATATTGAATCGATCATTGCCAATACTTTTCTATTTCGCAAAATTAAACATATTATTGATCATCTTAAAAGTAAACATTCACTTGATAAAAGTTTTATAGGACTACCAAGTTTAAGCATCACAGAAAAAAATGACTATTATTGTATATCATTGACAAGTATTAAAACACATCATGATGAATTTAAACTTGTTCTCAAACGAATACAAATCTTATCAAATGCTACTAAATCAGCTAAAGTTTCTTATCAACGACAATTAAATTCAAAATTTCAATCCGTTAATGATATAATGACACAACAAATTCGTTCTTCACAAGATTGGATATATTATACGAAATATTTTCAACAATTAGTTAAAAATAAAATTGAAGAGTTTGTTAAATTATATGATGATTACATATTACAAAACTCCAAACAAATGGTAGATGAATGTATAAAAGATGCTAATTTTCATTCACAAAATCAATTACGAAAATTAACTGAAACGTATATGAAAAAAAAACAATTTCTACCTGAATTAGAAATATTAAAAAGTGAAGCTTTAGATGAATATATAAAACAACATGTCTTATCAGAACGATTAAAATTTGAAAAGAAACCATCAAAAAAATCTATTGATACTATGAATGAATTTATTAATAAAGTAAAAATAGAACTCAAAACAAATCCCATCTATAACGGATGTAATTTAGTACAATTTAAAGAAATTCCAAAATTATTACAGCGAATTATGTTATATTACCGATGTTTTCTTCTACAATTACCTTTGTATGACTCATCAAAAGATTTATTAGCAAAAATTGAACAAAATACAGTCATTACCATAGCAACATCTACCGGATCTGGTAAAATATAGAAGATAAAGTCAAGGGAGTTGATATTTACTAAAAAGAGAATCGCTTTCAGAAAGTTTCATTTCGACTTTATTAATTTTTTGTTTACAGATACCAAAGAGTATTCTAATGAAAACTCTAAAAGTATTTGATAACAAACTTTCAAGATATAAATCCTTTCCCATGGATAGTATGTGTACAGCATACATGTTTTGAAAACTTCATATCTCAAATTATTTAGCGTCTAGGTGCGGTTGAAGTCCTGCTCTCGCTCACACCCACATCGACACCCTCTGGATATTAGATTTACTAGCTGTTTAAATTTAATATTATTTCATTTTAGGTAAATCAAGTTTATTACCAGCTCTCTTGATTGCTGAAGGTTATAAAAAAGTCATTGTTACTCAACCTCGTCGATTACCTTGTACAGCAATTTGTAATCGTGTTAATGAAACTATGACAACAAATAAAAATGAAGCTAAACTTGCTGGATGGGCTGTTAGTGGTGCACAGAATGATGTCGATTCTCGAATCTTATATTTAACAGATGGCTTATTAAAAGAACGTCTATTACATGATGA